TCTACTTTAGATTTCTTATACACCGTGTACGATTAATCTATCTCCTTGGGTTAGGAATCGGACTTGTCCTTGAATGGTTAGAAATTGAAATTAGCAATGTTGTATCCCAAATTTGATTCCTGAACTATAACTTAGTAGATCGATAGGTGATTTTGATCTACAAGACACCTTTTGGCTTTTACACATATATACGCCTCGTTAATTGTTCATGCATTGCATGATAATTAACAAAAAAAAGAAACTATATCTTTTATGCTTAATTGATATATGCCGGGAAAAATTATTGGATTTTTGAACGTTTTTTTTTTTTTTCATCATCATTATTGTCAAATACATTTTTAACTAATTAGGATCAGTTACACGAATCTTGGTCCGAAACTCTGTTCTATTAAGGGTCTTACCCTCAATGAGACTATAACTCTTTTCTTTTTGGTTAAAAATATTAGGCAATGAAGCAAAGCTCCTAAGTCTCAATAGTATAAGGCGAAGAAATAAGGATGAGCCACACCTAAATCCAAAACTATTCTTAAAACGAGTTGTAATTATAACTTCTAGCATATGAAAAGTTTCAGAAGTTTTTAAATTTTGACGATTTTTTAAAACATAATTAACAACAATTAAAAATAAGAGATCTGATATTTTAGGAAAGATAATTTTTCATACTTCTTAATTACCAATTTTATTTTTTCATTTTTTTATTTTTAACAGATTAATGCCATTATAAAAATTGCCTTGAAAACCTTGCTCTTCCAAATTAAAATTTACCTAAGGCCCACTTTAATTACTTGTTTCACAAATGGACCCAACATAAAAGCCTCAAGAGAGGTATGTAATCATAAGACATAAAGTATGACACAAAGGTATAGAACTAACCATTTTATTATCAATCATATCTCGAATTAAAAAATTTGAATGTGGTTGGATCTAGACTTAATCCTCCGATCCGCAATCATTTCACCGAAAGGGAATATCATTGTGATTCTTATTATTGTTAATCACATCACGAATAACTCCATGTTTGCGATCTAGATTTGATCCTCAAATCCTCAATGGCAATAATCACTAATTTGTTTTGGTCTCAACACAAATTGGTGGCGAGGTGCAAACGGATCGGGATCGGTAGACCCATCGGCGAGGTCAACACGATTATGATCAGAAGCTATAAGTGGAATTTGACTCTGCAGCCCGGATCTAGGTTCACGTTATTTTGGACAGGCCGGGACCATGTTCAAGTCCAGGTCCACCACAACTTAGGGGTGGCAATGGGACGAGTGACCCGCCCTAAAAACGTAGGGCTTGGGTCACAAAATGTGGCCTAAGGGCCTTGGGCGTGGCACGACCCTTACCTAATTTTTTCATCATTTTTTTTTCTTTGTTTTTTTTTTTAAAATACTCAAGGGCTAGGCCTAGGCCGCCCCTCAAGGGAATAGGATTGGGCTTGGGCCAGGGCTAGCCCAACCCATTGCCAACCTTAGCACAACCTAGTAGCATTAAGTTTAAGTTTACATCATATTATATATGGGAAAAGTTTCTATACTTCCCCTACAGCATAGAAGATCTATGTTTCCTCTACCATCCAACCATCCAATTTTAATCAAGAGAGAGCTACTCACCATTTGAGCTTAAGTCTGACGTCTTAAAGTATTTTATTTTTTGTTTTTTTATACAAATTGTATGAATATAAAATTTGGTACGTGTCATCTGCTCATTGGGGTGCACCTATAAAAATGTTACAAATAAGTTTTCGATAGAATATAATAACCAAAATACCCCTTGAAACTTTCAGGGGTATTTTGGTCATTTTATTTTATTGAATTTTTTTATATATATATTTTTCACTAGTGCGAGTTTAATGGAGGATTGGACATCCAAATTTGGTGTCAAAATAGTTTATAAAAAAAATTAAAAAATAAAATAGTGTAGAAACGTGACATTGTGATTAGGGCAATCTTAACCCTCCATTCAGAATGGATGGTTGGATAAGGGGAAGTATATAAGTTTTATGTTGTAGGGGAAGCATAAAAAGCTTACCTTATATAAATTGTCTACAAATATTTTTCTTTTAAATTTCAAAATGGGTGTTTGTTAGAGTGTCATTGAACAAAGTTCCAAAACAAATTTTCTTGCACTTTGTGATTTACCTCAATCCATCCAATTTGACATCTACTTAGTATGAATGATTGTAACCGTCATGTACAAAACAT